GTTTACAGTGATAGGACAGGGCAGGGTAGATAGACACTTGGCTTCTGGAAAGACTATGTACTTTGATCTGGGAAATATGTTTACTTTGATAAGGGTGAAAGTACAGAGCTAACTCACTTGTTCTGAAATAACTAAGTTTTGTGAATATTGAACTAAGCAGAAGACATGAGCCAGAGAATCGTAACTATCTCATTTCTTCTTATGAGTCTGAAATAACTCTCAGGGGAATTGATCTGTTAATAACGAACTTTCAAGAGACAATTAAGGTGGGGACAAGAACAGGAGCTTAGTAACTAAATTGTTCATTTTTACTATGTCGGAAATAACTGTTTTAAATTTTGCGGAAATAAACTGTTAATAGCAAAGCTATAAGAGTGATCAGAGGCGGAGGACAGGAGCCAGAGCTCGGTAACTACCTTGATTTTATTTAATACATCTGAAATATAACTTTTATAAATTTTGAGGGAATCGGTCTGAAAGTAGCAAAATTATAAGTGTAAACTAAGGTGGGGACAAGAGCTGGAACTCGGTAACTCTATTTTCTTTTCCAACTACTTTCGAAATATGACTATTTGAAATTTTAGGGAAATTGAATTGTTAATAACGAAACTACACTTATAAATGTATACAACCGGATCTAGGAACTAATGTTTAATACTAGTAATTACTAAACGAACTCCTAATAAACATATCCTTCGAAAATGGACTTCATTCGACCTTAACTTTTCTCTTAAATGGGTGCAGTATAGTGAGTATATTTTCTTCACAAGAATTCCTTAACATGACAGAGTATTTTTTCCTATAAAAAATATTAAGAATGGAGTAAGGATTTTTTTTTCCAATAAAATCTTTAAACTCCATGGAAGAAAATTGGGAACTGAAAAAAACAAAAATTACCCTAAAACAGGTAACCGCTTAACGTAAATATTTTCCTAAGATAGGTCCTCTACCCCTTTTTTAAGGTGACGGCTTAGCTGTAAATGACGCTCAAAACCAGCATTTACTGCTTAGTCGTCATCCCTACTACTGATGTGGTAGTAGTAGTCAAGTGGGCCGAGTTAGATAGCAGAAGCAGCCGATTCTCGAACTATTTATTGGTAACCTGTAGGGACTGGGAAGCAGATTGGTATGTGATCTCTGATATTATTAGGCATGTAAATGTTGCTTTACTTTTTTGCTTGCGGTGTTATGTACAGGTCGAGCAAGTTGTACCAGTACCATAACTACCGTCACTATTACTAGCGCTACCAGAACAATCGCCACTGCCATCACAATCATCAAAACCATTACCACCACTACCAGCTCTACCATTGCCATCGCCAATAATGCCGCACCACACACACACACACACACCTGTCACAACTACTATTCGTAACACAATAATCTACAACCATCACCATTAGCAGTCTTCCCCCCCCCCCTCCACAAATATCACCCCACCACATATATCACCCACCACATATATATCACCCACCACATATATCACCCCACCACAAATATCACCCACCACATATATCACCCACCACAAATATCACCCCACCACAAATACCACCCCACCACAAATACCACCCCACCACAAATACCACCCCACCACAAATACCAACCCACCACAAATATCACCCACCACAAATATCACCCCACCACAAATATCACCCCACCACAATATCACCCCACCACAAATATCACCCCACCACAAATACCACCCCTCTACAAATATCACCCACCACAAATATCACCCCACCACAAATACCACCCTACCACAAATATCACCCACCATAACTACCACCCACCACAACTACCACCCACCACAAATATCACCCCACCACAAATATCACCCCACCCCACAAATATCACCCCACCACAAATATCACCCCACCACAAATATCACCCCACCACATATATCACCCACCACAAATATCACCCACCACATATACCACCCCACCAAAAATATCACCCACCACATATACCACCCCACCACAAATATCACCCCACCACAAATAACACCACACCACAAATATCACCCCACCACAAATACCACCCCACCACAAATATCACCCCACCACAAATATCACCCCACCACAAATATCACCCCACCACAAATATCACCCCACCACAAATATCACCCACCACAAATATCACCCACCACATATACCACCCCACCACAAATATCACCCACCACAAATATCACCCACCACAAATATCACCCCACCACAAATATCACCCCACCACAAATATCACCCACCACAAATACCACCCACCACATATCTCACCCCACCACAAATACCACCCACCACATATACCACCCCACCACAAATACCACCCCACCACATATACCACCCCACCACAAATACCACCCCAACACAAATACCACCCACCACAAATATCACCCCACCACAAATATCACCCTACCACAAATACCACCCCACCACAAATACCACCCCATCACAAATACCACCCCATCACAAATACCCCCCACCACAAATACCACCCCACCACAAATATCACCCCACCACAAATATCACCCACTACAAATATCACCCCATCACAAATATCACCCCACCACAAATATCACCCCACTACAAATATCACCCCACCACAAATAACACCCCACCACAAATATCACCCCACCACAAATATCACCCACCACAAATATCACCCCACCACAAATACCACCCCACCACAAATATCACCCCACACTCAAATATCACCCCACCACAAATATCACCCCCACAAATATCACCCCACCACAAATATCACCCCACCACAAATACCACCCCCCACAATATCACCCCAACATACCACCCCACCACAAATACCACCCCACCACAAATATCACCCCACCACAAATATCACCCCACCACAAATATCACCCCACCACAAATATCACCCCACCACAAATATCACCCCACCACAAATATTTTCCCACCACAAATACCACCCCACCACAAATACCACCCCACCACAAATACCACCCCACAACAAATACCACCCCACCACAAATACCACCACAAATATCACCCCACAAATATCACCCCACCACAATATTCCACCCCACCACAAATACCACCCCACCACAAATACCACCCCACCACAAATATCACCCCACCACAAATACCACCCCACCACAAATATCACCCCACCACAAATATCACCCCACCACAAATATCACCCCACCACAAATACCACTCCCACCACAATATCACCCCACCACAAATATCACCCCACCACAAATACCACCCCACCACAAATACCACCCCATCACAAATACCCCCCCACCACAAATACCACCCCACCACAAATATCCCCCCCACCACCCCCCACCACAAATATCACCCACTACAAATATCACCCCACCACAAATATCACCCCACCACAAATATCACCCACTACAAATATCACCCACCACAAATATCACCCCACCACAAATAACAACGCACCACAAATATCACCCCACCTCAAATATCACCCCACCACAAATATCACCCCACCACAAATATCACCCCACCACAAATATCACCCCACCACAAATATCACCCCACCACAAATACCCACAAATACCCACCCCACCCCAAATACCACCCACCACAAATATATCACCACAAATACCCCCCACACCACAAATATCACCCCACCACCACAATATCACCCCACCACAAATATCACCCCACCACAAATATCACCCCACCACAAATATCACCCCACCACAAATATCACCCCACCACAAATATCACCCCACCACAAATATTTTCCCACCACAAATACCACCCCACCACAAATACCACCCCACCACAAATACCACCCCACCACAAATACCACCCCACCACAAATACCACCCCACCACAAATATCACCCCACCACAAATTCCACCCCACCACAAATACCACCCCACCACAAATACCACCACCACCACAAATACCACCCCACCACAAATACCACCCCCCACCACAAATACCACCCCACCACAAATACCACCCCACCACAAATACCACCCCACCACAAATATCACCCCACCACAAATTCCACCCCACCACAAATACCACCCCACCACAAATACCACTCCACCACAAATATCACCCCCCCACAAATACCACCCCACCACAAATATCACCCCACCACAAATATCACACCACCACCAATATCACCCCACCACAAATACCACCCCACCACAAATATCACCCCACCACAAATATCACCCCCACCACAAATATCACCCCACCACAAATATCACCCCACCACAAATATCACCCCACCACAAATACCACCCCACCACAAATACCACCCCACCACAAATATCACCCCACCACAAATATCACCCCACCACAAATATTACCCCACCACAAATATTACCCCACCACAAATATCACCCACCACAAATATATCACCCACCACAAAATATCACCCCACCACAAATACCACCCCACCACAAATACCACCCCACCACAAATATCACCCCACCACAAATACCACCCCACCACAAATACCACCCCACCACAAATACCACCCCACCACAAATATCACCCCACCACAAATATCACCCCACCACAAATACACCCCCACCACAAATACCACCCCACCACAAATCCCCCCCCCCCACCTACCACCAACTACAGCGAGCACCTACTACACCTACCACACATACCACCCAGCATAACTACCACTCACCATAACAACTACCAACCACAGCTACCACCATCAGAATATCACCATTATCAGTCCAAACCTATATTCTTTCTCCTTGGACTAGTCGGTGCAAGGAGAGTCTTGTATCTTGGAGGGTCCAAGTTCAATCCCTGATGGCCATATTGCTAGGTACCGTTCCATCCCTCCGTCCACATATTGCAGGGGCTAAATCCACACATCCCTTTCCAGTGCTGTATAGTCATGCTGTTTAACCTTTCTCCTAATTATCATTTTAATAACCCCTTTCCTCCCCCCCCCTCGCAACTACCATCTCAACACCCAGTCCTCACAAACATCAAACAAAATGTGTACCAACGTACTATACCGCTGGTGAGATCGCTGTGGAAGCTGTTAGACACGAGGACGTTTGGCTTCTGACTGGATGGCTG